TATGTTGGGTTACTGTCTGGAAGAGCCTTTATCTATCCTGGCCAACAACTCGACTGAAGGTATCGCCTGTCTGGCTTTGTTGTTTGTCGAGTAACTTTTAGTTATATATATGTATGCTCTTATGATATTATGTTGGCCCCTTTACTCTTTGGTTATACTTCCCTTTTGGGTGTTTAAGGACATACAATTGGACCAGATAAACTGATTTGTTTTTACTCTTGAGGTCGTTAGAGAATCTGTTCCTCAGGGGTCCCGTGGGTTTGGGAGGAGCCTAATAGACACTCTTAAACAGAGAAAATGTTACCAACAAAATTAAGCTAGAAGATAAATGGCCTACAGCATCATATGAGTAGCACTGTATTATGATCACTCCTGGTACGTGTGGAATTTTCTCTCCACATAGGAACCTGGAGCAGATTGATACCAATAGAAACAAAAGTTGGTATTTAAAGAAGGCAATATGGTCTAGTAAATTCCAGAACTAATACTGAGAAGCTAGAAGAGTTTATCCTTTTCCTAATACAAAACAATAAATCCTCACACAAATTAGAAGCTGAAAAGGAAATAAAAAGATCCCTATTTCCAATCGTGGGAAAGTTACACAAGAACTGTGGCTTGCAAGGAAGACGGGAGCACATTGCACACCTGCAAGTCTTCCCAGGAAATGGGCCTGGGACTGACCCTGAATCCGTCCCCTCAAGGTTACACTATGGGACTGTCGATATGGAAATAATGTTACTTTAGTCCCTTAGTGGGTGTATTATTTCCAGCGCTATCTATCAACAGCAACCATAATCTGAATGGAGGCAGCTGAGAATTTCCATGGAAGAAAGTAGAGAGTTATTTTAGGATATGTTCTTAAATGGTCTAGTTTAATGGGATGGACACACATTGGCACACAAACATAGCTAGGGGAATGTCTCTGTGTTCACAGATGTGTATGCTAGAGCAAGCAAAGGGCTTAGGAAAATAACATTGCCTGGAATCACCAGTAAGTTACACGTGAGCATAGAAAAGTTAACTTGATTCTACCTCCCCATCACCAAAACTTGGGGCCAATTTAGTCAGTCATTCAGTGAATCCAGATGTTTGGCAGTATACAGGAAACAACATCTGGATGATTGACTGAATTTTCAATTATTCTCACTTGATGTTTTGGCAGCCTGCCTGCACAGCCTCCAATGGCTTTCTGCCTCAGTTTCTCTAGCTATAAAAAGGGACAGACATTTATCACTTAGTGAGGATGATAAAATATCCAAGAACAATAATGAATTCTTGAAAAGAATGATTCTGTGAGAGTGTTATATCTTATACAAATGCCAAGTTGGATTTTTTTCTCAGTAACTAGTCTTTAAAATAGTTAATGCTTGAAATACAGTTAAGTGTTATACCAATATAACACACTGTATTATCATCTTCATCATTGCCATCATCAACACCAAAACTTTGTTCTTTATGATTTCCCTAAAGCATCTCACTTTCACATTGAATCACGGCCAAAATGCGAATCTTATTTAAGGTTTGAAAAGATATGTTTTGTACATGTAAAGCAACACAGATGAGGAGGGAAAAAAATCAGTGTGGGTGTTTGGAGCCCAACCAATTTTAACAGCTAGACTTAAACAGGTAAAACTGGTCTATCAATGACACTTAACTGGTTACTCAATCATATTTGTATGGAAATTGAACGTGTTCACACACTAATTTATGAGGAGAGGTAGAAGAAAGGCATTGTAATGGTGAATTTTTCCCTTTCTCACTCTATATACCTCTACATTCCTAGGAATTAGTTTTAGCTTTTGCGGCTAAAAGTTAGAAGAAAGGAAAAGGAAAGAATATGGAAAAGAAGTATTGTAGGAATCTGCAATCATACAAAGCTGAAGGAGCAGTCAGACTGGCAAAAGTACTGGAACTCCTTTTCAAAATTAAGTTCTGCCTATAGTGAAAAGCCTGGGCATAATCCTCACAACTACCAATTACTAAGGGCCTGTTATGTACATGTAATTATATATGTGTATATATATATACAATGTGTGTACTTATGTATATGTATATTTGTATGTGCATATTATACATACACAGAGGAGTTTTTGATAAGCCTGTAGTACTACTAATGAGAGAACAAAGCACTGATGTGCCTAATGTTATATATTTGTTAATATCTACAACTAAATTCAGATCCATGTTGATATAAAGCCCTTATTTTTTCCACCATACATGAATAAGTCTTTATTAAATGGCTTGCTCTAACATCTTCAGTGACTGTTGGATCATATAGAAACCTATGTCTGTGCAGCTTTTCCTTTTTGTCAGGTGGAGTCCACCCCCAGGTCTTTGATCTTCCATATGGCAACCCATCTCTACTTATCTTTATCTAATCCAACCATAAGTGTGGTTTATGGCAGCTCATAACATTTGTCCCTCCCTAGACTCTTCTGCCTGGTCTAGCTTACCCTATGCCCAAGCATGCCACCCACTAATGAGCAGCATCCCCTTAGGCTTTTCATCGTGCATCACACTTTATCTATTTTTTGTTGTTTTTGAATTTTATTTTATTTTTACATTATGTGTATGAGTGTTTTTTCCGCATGTATGTAAGCACACCATGTGCATGTAATGCCTGCGGAGGCCAGAAAGGGTGTCATATCCCCTGGAACTGGAGTGTTGGATGGTTGTTGGTCACCATGTGGGTGCTGGGAACCAAATCTGGGTCCTCTGCAAGAACAGTAAGTGCTCTTAATCTCAATGCCATCTCTCCAGCCCCCTTTTTGTTTGATTGCTTTTGTTTTTGAGACAGGGTTTCACTGTATAGCCCTGACTGGCTTAAAACTCACTGTGTAGACCTGGCTGGCCTCAAACTCACAGAAATCTACCTGTCTCTGCCTCTTGAGTGCTGAGATTAAAGGCATGCATTACTATGTCCAGCTGATCACATGTTATCTTTATTTAGTCGCTTTTAATGTTTGGGCTCCCTGCCCAGACAGACTGTGAAAACAGAGGGTTAGAATTCACTTTGTTTTAATCTCTGAAGTCCCTGGGACCTTGTTAAGTGCCTGGCTGAATATTTCCAATATAAGAGGTATTCCTTCAGGTCTGTTAAACTTTCCCCTCAGGATTAAGGACACAGTGATGGGCCCTGAGATGGTGGCCTCACCAGTACAGAAATCTAACTTGTTGAGCAGACTTATGTGGAAATAGTGTGAGATAACATAAAAATTATTTGAAGATCAATACTGCCACTGATTCCAGGTGATATATTCACATCATCTTTGCTCTGGTACCCTCTGAAGTCCATTTTGAAATAATCACACTGTATCTAACAAGGCATGATTGAACTCAGGTTGTGCTTTCACAGAAGGAAAGATCAGTTATATAAACACTGCCTTTATCGTGTGCTCAGCAGCAGTAACAACCATTTATTAAGTGCTCATTGAGTACAAAGCACTTTATGAGGCACTGGAGGAGTTACACCCAAGCATGCCGTTGATATTTTCACAATGCAGTCCCAGTGAAATACATCTCCATTAGAAAGTCCATCCAATCATTTTCTCAGAAACACAACAGATTCATGTGAAAAACAAAATCCTGCCAGTGTCTTCATACAGAAACTTCTGCCTTTACATAAGGATTTTAGTTGAATTATGTTTTTTCCCAAGGTACAAATAGTACCTGGGCCCTCACATTCGTGGATTATGGCACAGAGACATCACTGTGGCATATGGTAGCCTTTCTGGTAGTCTTTTATTTTTTATTGTGGCCACAAAGCAATCACAAGCAGATGGTACAATAAACTTCTATTTGTATCTTGTTACTAAATTCCTCACAAGAGGAAAAACTATGTGTACGGGTCAAGAACATCTGTGAGTATCACTATGCACAGCAGAGGCTCACTAGTTGGCAAAGGAGCAGTGAAACTGGACCTCTGGTATCTTGCTGATGATAGTGAAAACTGATACATTCTCATTGGAAAGCAGTTTGGAGATAGGCATTGAAATACATTCCTAAACCCAACAGTATAATATATTAAGCAAATAATCTAAGGTTAAGACAAAGCACTATGTATGAAGAAACAGCTTTATGATCGCATAAAATCAGAATCAATTGGCATGTGCAGCAATTTTGTTGAGTAGGCAACAGAATATTATACAACCACAGCAAATGATTAATAAGATTTCTGGCAACACAAGGAAGTATTGTCAATATAGTGTCATTAAAAACTCAATGCATTATTATATTGTATGTGTGCATGTGCAAATATGTATGATGTGGGGGTGCGAATGAATCACAATGTGCATATGGAGGTCAATGAACAACTTTTAGGAATTATTTCTCTCCTTCTACCATGGATTCTGGGTATTTAAGTCAGGTCATCTGGCTTGCGTGGCAAGTGATTTTATCTGCTGAGCCATATAACTGACCCATATCATTAAAAAATTGTTTATCTTTTTTATGTGTATGAGTCTTTTTTATGCATGTATGTAAGTATACCTGTGTCATGCAATGCCCACAGGGGTCAAAAGAGGGTGTTGGAACCCCTGGAACTGGAGTTAAGGATGTTGTTAGCCATCATGTGGGTGCTGAGAATCAAACCTGGGTTCTCCGCAAGAGCATTCAGTGCTCTTAATCGCTGAGCCATCTCTAGACCCCCACATTGTTTTTAAGAAGTAGAAATCTTATGTGCTTCTAATATGAAAAAGGTGTCTGTGGGATTTTTGACAAATATTAGAAGAGAACACGTGAAAATGAAAATGGGATAAACACTGGAATTGTGAAAAATAATTGCCCTCTATTTTCAAATATTTCTGTCATTGTCATATCATGGTAATTTGAAAATAGAGTGAAAAATGAGGACCAGCAGTCAATTCTAGCAGAGGAAATCTTTGAAGAAAATGAACAATTGCTGCTTCTTCGAAAACCCAAATATTAGCACGAGAAATAACAATCATCTGCCTCTCATTTATTTGTGTACCATTTCTACTTTTATTGAATATACCACATACCTGGTTGATGTGCTTCAGTTTATCAATAATCTGACTAACCACCGGCTCAGGGCCCTTCATTTTCAGCTCATGGAGGTTAAACTGATTCTTCATTCCATTCCTAGCTGCCTTCTGGCTGTATCTGTAAAGATGAATAGAATGAGAAAGTTTGTCAAAGAAAGTCCCAGTCAAACAGAGAGCTGGGTATAACTGGCACCAGCAGGAAAGTTGATTACAAGTTCTATTTAGCCTTTTAGAACATGGAATGACACCATGGTGCAAAATAAACCATTTCAGAAGAAGTCCATTTGCAGTAGGCAATGTTCATTGAACAGCCAACAAATGCTTAACCCCTTGTTTTTTGAGATGTTGGGGATATAATAATGAACAAGACAGATAAAGTCTCTCTTCTTACTGTGCTCAGTTCAGCAGCACAACTTAATAAAAGAGTCAGTAGCATGGCTAACTAGGAAGAACTGGGCTAGGGGAGGTTGAAAGTCTTGTCTAGGAAAGCACACCAAAAGGATGCTTGTCCTTTCTACTCATTTGAAGGAGAAAGGCTCGCCCATGTTCTTTGCCTCTGCCTTCTCCCCATCTTCTTCCTCTCACGATTTACTTATAGGAGGAACTGGTTTTCTAGTCAAAAGGCTTTCTCCAACCATATGCAAAATACATTATGCTTGCCAGCTTGCCTCCATGTTCTTCCCCAGAAGACAGAGCAACAGCTCAGGGGAAGCTTGCTAATGTGCAGGGGAAGTCATAGGCTCCACTTCAGAACTAAAGTTTCAAGGTCTCCACAGGTATCCTCATCAGCATGAGAAGCGGGGAAGGAGGGAAGATTTGTAATCCAAGGCCATGCTGCCTTTCATTCCCAATGTTGGGTTTTGCCAGCTTCAACCAGGAGAATACCTGAAGTGGACTTTTTACTATGCTCATGGTTCCAGATGTCTACATATTGTCATTTCCAATTTTTCAAAGGGATGCAAAGAAACAAATGTCAGAAAGTAGAAACAGATTTCATTTCCTCCTTTCTCTTCAATCATGTGCAGATACCAGAGCACTGTTACCAAAGAGGAGAAAAAGGTTTTAAAGCTCTTTTTGCTTTCTCCTGGTCCAGATAAAAGACAGAGATGCTTTCTTAGAGAAATAAAAGGACTGGCAGGCCTTTTATCATCTCATAAATAACTTCCCCCAATTACAAGAGAGTAGGAAAGGATAAGGTTAAATTGATATTTTAAAAGATTTATTTTTTAATTATGTCTATGTGTATATGTCTGTGTGGGTATGTGCATGTGAGTATAGTGCCCATGGAGGACAGAGAGGGCATCAGACACCCTAAAGCTGGAGTTATAGGTGCTGTGAGTCTCTGAGTCACCATGTGGGTGCTGGGAACTAAACCCAGTTCCTCTGAAAGAACACGCTGAACCATCTCTCCAGCCCTTAAATTTTATATATATATATATATATAGTGTCAGCAGAAACCATACTGGCCTTGAACTCACAGAGATCTGCCTGCCTCTGCCTCCTGAGTGCTGGGATTAAAGGCGTACGCCAGCACGCCTGGCTTAAATTTATATTTTTAATTACAAAATAATCATGTTTATTGTAAACCATTCAAACAGTACAGAATAAAACAGGTTCCCTGTCATCTTGCCTTTCCAAAAAGAATCCAGATAAATAACATAAATAATTGTAGGCATTTTAAAAATGCACATACTGATATATAATTATAACCAAAATTGAAATGATCTTACTCATACTGATTTGCAACATTTTATGCCCTAAAACATATGCCTTGGACATGTTTCCATGTCAGAACATGCTGGACTGCCTTATTCCTCTGCATGGGTATATCATAATTTGTTTACCTAATCTGTTAATAATGAACTACTGAATTATTTGCAATATTTTGATAATATAAACAACGCTTCAAGGAACATCCATCTTTGTGTGTTGATTTTTTTCATAGTTGCATTTACATAGAAATGAATCAAGTGTTAAATTCCAAGTTATAAAGCACAATTAATACCATTGTATATGTGTTTTGCTTTGTTTGTTTGTTTGTTTGTTTGTTTGTTGAGACAGGGTCTCCCTGTAGCCCTAGCTGGCAGGGAATTCACTATGGAGACCAGGCTGGCTTAGGTCTCACCGAGATCTGCCTGCCTCTGCCTAATAAATGCTAGGATTAAAGTTGTGCGTCACCATGCCCACCCATTATGCTTTTGTACATCACTTTACAAAGCACTGTCATATACTTCGCTCATTTAAGCTTTGTAATCCCTAGCACTGAAAGAAAAAGGCAATTAATGAATGGCTGGATTACCAAGCATCACATGTCAACTGCTTTCATGGACTCTTTAGGAACCATTCTTTATCAGACAGGAATAAACTCAGTACCAGCCACTTCTTTTATGTACGTATATTACTGCTAAAATATAGTCCCTTTCTGATGGTATAAATTCTGTCTTCTTTCTTTACTCCTAGCATTGCCTAGGACAGGGATTGTATGTGCAGACAAAGATGTAAGGTTCACTCAGAAATTAACTTCAAGAACGTGTTCCTAAAGATGCCTTCCTGGATTTGTTCATATCAAAGCTTACTGACCCCTTTATGCATCCTCTACAAAACAAGCATTTTCCTGAAGCTTCTTACCTTCATTGGGATACTTAAGAATTTGGTCCTTCCAATCTGATTCTCTATTTCTTATTTCAGAGCTATTATGAATATTAAGTCAAATTAGTCAGTCTCCCGCTGATCCTTTGGTAACTCTACTGTCGGATTTTGTGCCATTCAGAAAAATCTCCGTCTAGCTCTATATTCTTTTTTTCAATTCTCATCTTCTAGTCATGGCTTAGAACTAAATATGGCCAGCTCTAAACACTGTTTGCCAATCCCACGGTGACTCAGTTAAAAACCCACAGCATCGCATTTAAAATCTTGCTAAACTTTCTGAAAGTTGAAATAGCATCCACTGTTACACTCATATTTAAATCCTCAAAAGACTCCAGTACATTGAGCATGGTATCTGAGCTGGCTTTTGGCTTAGGCCTAAAAGTTGATTTTATTTCATTTACTTTACAAAGCAGTAACCCAATTGTCCAATTAATCATTTTCAACTCCAGCATCTTACATTTATTTTTTAAAATTTTATTTATTACTTTTATGTGTATGAGCGTATTGCCTGTATGAATGTAAGTGCACTCGTGTCATGCAATGCCTGCAGAGGTCAGAAGAGGGCATTGGATCAATTGTAACCAAAGTTACTGATGGTTGTTAGCTGCCATGTGGGTGCTGGGAACAGAACTCAGTTCCTCTGCCAAGAGCAGCCAGTGCTCTTAACCACTGAGTCATCTCTCCAGCCCCGTATTGTTATTTATTAATCTCTTACTGTGTCTAATTTCTAAACTAAACTTTATAACAGTTTTCTGTGTTCAGGAAAAATAAACAACAATACAGTCGTCTCTTGGTATCTAAGAGTTGTTACTTCTAGAATCCCCTCACCCTACCCATGGATGTCAAAATCTGTTGCTACTCAAGTCCTTTATATAAAATCACACAGTGTGTATATGTAACCTGCATAATCCTCCCATGTAGTTTAAATCATCTCTACATTATTCTTAATACTTACTGTAATGCAAACAGTTATTATACCTTATTATTTATGGAGCAATGACAAGAAAAACACTGTATGTGTTCAGCCCAATGCAAATATTTTCCATTTTTTTCAGTGTTGGGTATCATTCCCAGGGCATCATATAGGCTAGGCAAACACTGTACCACTGGGCTACATTTCCTTTCTTCCTTCTTTCTTTTCCTCCCTACCTCCATTATCCCCTGCCTCCATCAGAGATCAAACCCTGGGCCTTCAGTATGCAAAGCATGTATTCTACTACTGAGCTATATTCCCAGCTAGTATTTTCAAATTGTGGTTGAATCCTTGAATGCAAAGGGGTGACCATATATATATGGTTTAGTACTATCACTGATTTCAGGTACCCACTTGAGGTCTTCATAAATATTCCCTATTAAAGGAGAACTAGTTTACTCTCATATTTTCTATAAATGTTTAAATATGAGATAAAAATAGGAAAATGGTAACAGCATTTAGTTTTGGTAATAAGAATAGGAAGCTGCTGGGGACCACTTGCTTATTTGTTTTATATCTTTACTTATCTTTTATCTTTTATATTTTTTACCATGGACAATTATTCCTCTGTGTGGTGCTGATAACTGGGCCTAGGGCCTTGCCCACACTAGGGAAGTTCTTTACTATGTGTTGCATCCCAAGTCCTCTACTGTGAACATTCTTTTTTAAAAAATATTTTATTTATTATTTTTATTTTATGTGTATGCATGTATGGCCTACATGTAGGTAAGTGCACCCACCCATGTTGTGCAATGCCCACGGAGGACAGAAGAGGCTGTCAGATTCCCTGGAACTGGAGGTACGGACAGTTGTTAGCTGCCATGTGGTGTTGGGATTCGAACCCGGGTCTTGTGCAAGACCAGTGTTCTTAACCGCTGAGCCATCTCTCCAGCTCCTACTGTGAACATTCTTAAACTTTGTAATTATTCAATATTTATAATGAATAAAATTTCATGTGGTAGTTAATTTCAATGTTTTCCCTTCAGCTTTTGTAAGGTATAATGGACAAAAATTGAATTTATTTACCACGTACAATGTGATATTTAGATCTGTGTATATATTGCAAAAATTATTATCACAAACCAGTTGCATAACCTATCTATTACTACACAGCATCATCTTCTTTGTGATAATAACTTTTCAATTAAAAAAAAACTTAAATTTATTTTTATTTTATGTCTATAAGTGTTTTGTTTGCATGTATGTAAGTACCTCATGTGTGTGCAATGCCTGTGGAAGCTAGAAGAGGGCATTAAATCCCCTGGAACTGGAGCTATGGCTGGTTATTAGCCACCATGTGGGTGCTGGGAACCAAACCCCAGTCCTCTGCAAGAGCCACTCTCCAGGCCCTTGTTGTAATAACTTTTAAGATCTACTCTTTTAGACAGCTATTGATTACCCCTCCAAGACAAAAGTGCCACTACTGCATCAATTGCAATAGTTTGCGGGGCCAGTCATTGTTGTTTATTAGGCTTTACAGGTGGGAAGGACCATCG